CGAATGAACAAGTAGTTCTCTCTGTAGCCAAGTATGATTCTCTGGTAAAGCATGAGCGAGCAAATCAGCCCTCCTCCACCGCTACTATTGTTACTTCAGGTAATACCTATCTCCATACTTCATCTTCTGCACCTTGAATCATTGATTCAGGGGCATTCGATCACATTACGGTAAACCCATCTTTTCTTTATGATATTTCTCATATTTTCTCACCATCGGTTGGTACTATAGTGAATGGTGTCAAATTACTTATTCATGAAATTGGTACCTTTCGCACTTCGGGTCTCATTTTTCCTCAGTTTTATATATCCCTCAATTTTCATTCTATTTATTGTCAGTTTGCATATTCATATTAGATTTAAATTGCTTAGTTATTTTTTCTCCTTCCCGTTGTGTCTTTCAAGATCTCTCAGAATGAAGAAGACGATTGGTTGGGGGTTTAAGAATGATGGTCTTTACTATATCTAACCGACTCCTACTCTGACTGCTCTACATTCCACCTCCTCTTCAGCTTATCATTGCCGCCTTGGATATCCCTCTTCAAGTAGTCTTCGAGTCTTGGTTCCTTCTTTCATTAATTTTTCTAAGTTTAATTGTACTCCTTGCGAACTCAGTAAACATCGTCAAGCTACTTTTAAGTCTCATTTTGATAATAAGAGTATGAAACCTTTTGAGTTAGTACATTCGGATGTTTGGGGACCAGCTCGTACTGCTGGTTTATTTGGTGCTCATTATTTTGTCTCATTTATTGATGATTATTCACATTTAACTTGGGTTTATATTCTTAAAGATAGATCTCAAGTGTTCTTTGTTTTTCAATCTTTTTATGCTAAAATTCAAAATCAGTTTGATGCAAAATTACTTATTCTTAAAACTGACAATGCCCCTTAATATAAAGTTAATATTTTTCAAAAGTTTCTTGAGTCGAGCGGCATTATCCATTAAACATCTTGTGTTGATACCTCCTTAACAAAATGGAATTGTTGAACGGAAGAATGGACCACTCCTAGCTATCGCTCGGGCCTTAATAATTCAAATGCATGTTCCAAACATTTTTGGGCAGATGCAGTTCTAGTTGCCACTCTTTTAAACCACATGCCTTCTAGGGTCCTTCAAGGAAAATCACCCTTCCAAATGATGTTTTTTGATAAAGACCCTTTTTCCATTCCTTCAAAGGTGTTGGGGTGTGTCTGCTTTGTTTATAATCTAAGCCCGCAACGAGACAAACTTTATCCTCGTGCCCACAAATGTATTTTCTTAGGTTATTCTCGCACTCAAAAGGGATATAAATGTCATAATCTAACTCTTCGTAAATAATTTGTGTGTGTAGATGTACCTTTCTTTGAGGATGTTCCTTATCATTCCCATGTTCTTCAAGAGTCTGATCTTCCAACTCCAGTTTTTGATTTTGACATCCCACTAGCTCTTCGTGTCTATGCGCGTCGCCGGAAAAGAGTAGGTAATCATGTTCCAACAACTGAAGTAGTAAACCCAGCCTTGCAACTCCCACCAATCGCTTCAACGCTTGGAGATTCTTTCATCTCTCCAACTCTGATCTTGATCAACTTATTGTTGTTCGGAAAGGTAAAAGGCCTTGTACCAATCACCTATCTCTAATTTTGTATCATATGATAAATTGTCCTCTACCTTTCAAGCTTTTCTTTGTCGTTATCCTCTATTACTCTTCCTAAGTCTTTCAGGGAGGCACTTTCTCATCCAAGGTGGAGGAAAGTTATGGAATAAGAAATAAAATGCTTTAAAATTGAATCATACTTGGGACCTTGTTCCTAAGCCTGTTGATACTTAGGTTGTTGGTTGTTGTTAGGTTTTCACTGTTAAACAAAATCTTGAGAGTACTGTTGATCGTCTCAAAGCTCGACTTGTTAAAGGATACACTCAGACTTATGGCCTTGATTATACTGAGACGTTCTCTCGTGTGGCCAAACTGAATTATGTTCGTGTGATATTCTCTCTTGCAGCTAATGTAGACTGGCCTCTTCATCAACTTGATGTTAAAAATGCCTTTCTACACGGTGACCTTATTGAGATAGTTTATATCACCTGGATTTGAGTCTAAGGGGGAGTGTGTCACCTCAAGAAGTCTATCTATGGCCTCAAACAGTTCCCTCATGCATGGTTTGATAAGTTTAATAAATCAGTGGTAGCTCGTGGTATGACCAGAAGCCTGGCTGATCACTCTCTCTTTTTTAAGAAAACAAAATGTGGTATTGTGATTCTTATGGTGTATGTAGATAATATCGTTATCATCGGCAGTGACAGAGATGGAATACAAGTTTTAATCCATCATTTGAGTTCTAGCTTCCTTACTAAGGATTTGGGAAAACTTCGATATTTTCTAGGAATTGAGGTGACTCAGTCGAAGCAAGGCATTAATCTCTCTCAGCGGAAGTATACTCTTGATCTCTTATAGGATATTGGATATCTTGGTTCGAAACCTATAGTTACACCCATGGAGATTAATGTAAAACTTAAGGTGGATGATGGTGACCTACTCGATGATACAGAGATGTATCAGGGACTTGTATGTAAACTTATTTACCTCACAATCACTCGTCCAAACATCTCCTATGTAGTCAGTATTGTAAGACAGTTCATGACTAGTCCTCAGGTACCCCACATGGAGGCAGTTGTATGCATCTTAAAGTATCTCAAGGGTGCTCCAGAACATGATTTGCTTTATCGATCTTTTGGACATCTTTGGATTGGGGGATACATAGGCAGATTGGGCCGGTTCTCCTTTTGATCGGCGGTCCACCACGGGCTACTGCACCTTTATAGGAGGAAATCTAGTAACTTGGAGGAGTAAGAAATTGTCAATTGTGGTTCATTTCAATGCTAAAGCAGAGTATCTTGCTATGGCGCACACTGCCTATGAACTTACTTGGTTGAAGACTCTTTTATAGGAACTTGGGATTTCAGTCTAGTACCCAATTCCTCTACATTGTGACAATCAAACAGCTATTCATATTGCTAGCAATCCAGTCTACAATGAGAGGACTAAACACATTGAAGTAGATTGCCATTTTATTCGATCTAAAGTTGACTCGAATAAGATTGCTACACCTTTTGTTGCTTCTGGCAGACTGAAGACATTTTCACTAAGGCGCTTCCCAAGAACTCCATTGATTACATATGTAGCAAGGTGGGAGTTATTGACATTTACTTTCCACCTTGAGGGGGAGTGTCGTACAGTATTGTAGTACTGTATGAGTTGTCACACGTGTAGAATTAGATTATATTGTATACTAGGGTTTACTAGTATTTTCTTTATTTCAGTAGCCCACCTTCACCTATCCCTCATTACCATATATATCATTACCATGTATAGGATTTATTTCTCCACTCATCTACTTCGGTAACTTCTCCTATATAAACACCATTGTATTATTGTATTACTCACTAAATAAGATATACGTTTTCATAAATTCTCTCTCTCTCTCTCTCTCTCTCTCAACAAATACTAAAAGACATAATAAGAAATTTTGATGAAGAAAAAAAGTAATTAGTCCAAAAAGCATATTGAGGTGATAAAGGACATGTATGATGGAACCATGATTATATTGTTAACAACTTGGGAGAAACAAGTGATGGATGAACTAACAAGCCCAAATCTTATCACCTTAGTTATGGATGAACTAACAAGACACATTCGGGATAAGGTTGATTGTGTTGGTTATTTGCTGATAGTATTAAATTATAGATTTGGAGACAAACTCCAGAAATATAATTATTTAGATAACTAGGTATAAAACTGAATATATGAAATGTAACTTTAACAAAACTAGAAATAGAAATAGAAGTATAGTGAAGATCGAGGGTTAATAGATACCAAAAAATGCACATATCTGCCAATATTTAAGCTTGATTATTGATGTTAATCATAGAATCAAGGCAAAATAAATTAATTGGAGTAGTACGCCAAAAATATTGTGTAACTAGCATTTCCCTCTAAGACTGAAAAGGAAGTTTAATAAAACAACTGTTAGACCGGTCTTTTTTTTATAGAACATAATTTCGGGCAGGTAAGAATCGTGTCAAAAATGCAAATAATGAGATGCACATATGCAGCAAGAAAATAAAAGATAAAATTAAAAATAAGTACATTCTTGAAATGGTTGAAGTAGCACCAAGTAGAGATAAAATAGGATAAATCGATTAAGAGGGTTTGTCATGTACTGAGTGCAATAATTAAAAAGAGTGATATGGTCGACATTGAGGGTAATGCTAGGGGAAGGGAAGACCAAAACTAAAATAGGCAGAGTTAGTAAGGAAATATGTAATTATACGTGGTTTGATTTAGACTATGACCTTAGGATAAAGCATAATAGAAAAACAGGATTAATGCAATCATATTTGCAAAGAGGCTTAGTTGTGTTAAGTAGCTAATCCCAAGTAATTGAGAAAAGGTTTAGTTGAATGCAATCACGTTGAGTCAATTTCATAGAACGAAGTAAGTTTTGACTAATTGCAGCAAAATTCGAATTTTTTATTTTATTTTATTTTATTTTACTTTATTTGTGAAAAAGTTAACCTAGCTGGCTATGCTGAATTACTGCATCTCAAAAATCTAAAAGAAAGCAGGGAGTTCAACAAATTTAAATTTATATATGTGTGTATGCACATGAAAATTGTTGATGGTGCACATATGCCTAGTTATGAGGATTGCGTCTCATCACTCACTCTAGCTTGCTTCCTTGGGAAAAAGAAGAAAATGTCTAACTAATGAAAAGGTCTTCTGTCTAAGAAGATTATATTCCAAACTTCATTATCAGTCCAAGAGTGCTGCAGAGAAGAAAAACTGGATAATAAAAAATAAAAAATAAAAAATAAAAACATATTTTACCTAGAAAAGGAAAATATTTTATGTCGAAACAAACGGAGAAAGTTGAAGTAGATGTCTATAGTATGACTAATTTATACATTTGAACAGTGCTTGTAACTGACTAGTATTTGAGCTTAATTTTTTTCTTTCACGGCAGTGGCAGCCTTCAAAACTGGAGCAGGTCAGTGAAGAAATGGTGGATCAGCTTTTTGCCAAAGTCCACGATGACGATTGGGAGATTTTGAAACTCCCTCATGGACGCAGTCTGACCAATACTGGGAAACCAAAGCTCTAGGACTTACCTATACAATCATTTGAATCATCAACGTATCATTCTTCTGAAACAATTTAAATTTAAAAGTGCCTAGTAGTACTTTCTCATAGTTCAAGATAAACGATCGAGGGTTCCATTTTAATGCCCCTCAATTTTTTTCCCTCAACCAGTTGGCGGAATGGTTCTTGGCTAAGTCCAGTGATGATTCACATCCTCCAGATTGTTGGTGTTTAATGCCTACCGTTATTTGGTGCATCTGGACCGTTGTGCTCAAGCCAATCACCAATTGATACGTAAGCAAGTGTGTAAGATTTACGTCAGTTTTATTCCACTTTTTGCTTATGTGTCAGTTAATGATTGGCCGCGGGACCATATAATAATTTCGGAGGTTGCTTTCTCCTGTATGTGGTAGAGTTTGCAGCTTTTGGGTTTCAAGATCCAGGATTTTCACAACATATGTCCCTCTTCTCGATGTTTTGCTATGTGGCTTTCTTTGTTTTTGGCCATAATGGTCTTATTATATTTCAGAGTATATTTAATACTCTCTCCATCCCAGAAAAAATGTATCTTGTTCAAGAAATAAATATCTTCAAAAATTACAATTTATTTAATGAAAGAAAAAAAAAAAAAAAAAAAAAATGTCTCTTGTTCAAGAAATAGTCACCTTTTGAAAAGTCCATGTAAAAGGCTATTCATTTTCAAAATTATCTTTCAACTTTTAAAACTATTCTAAAATTAACAAAGTTAAAACATTTTTATATTTTGAAAGTTATATTTAAAATATCAAAAGAAGACATGTATCATATAATACATGTGTGTCCCTTTCAAAAAGGTAGAATATGATTTTTTTTTTTTTTGGGACTGAGTGAAACAAACATCATATTAATGACTTTTAAACAAGAAAATAATGAAGAGGGCGAGTTTTTTTAAAAAAATGATAATATATACGATCAATTTTGGTTCTCACATAGATTTTGAGGAATAAATTAACTTCTAAAAATTTTTATCACAAAAGATTTATATTATGTTATTAATACAATAATTTCCGGGGGAAAAGTTATAGTTTAATGCAATAGAAAAGCAAATTGCAACTATAATTACTTAAAAGAAATGAGAGTCACGGTATTGTCCGAGTGATAAAAGAGTCAGGCCTAAAGTTCGCTCATCCTGTTAAAACTCATTAAATACTTTAGCCATAAGAATAAATGTTAGTATTGGCATGTTCCAAGATAATTCTAAACTCAACTGTAGGATATAATAACCGGACCTAGGCTAAAAGAAAATTGATTTTCTTGGTCCCTATGGAAGAATGACTCACCTCTTTCACTTTAAATCAAATTCAAAAGTAAGGGTAACGTAGTCATAAGGGATATTAGGTGATTTATTTTAGGATAAATTATATTGACATCCCTTGAGGTTAAGTCAAATTTCACTTAAATTTAAATGAAAATTATGGTTTTAAGTTTCACTTACATTTCAAATTACTTTTTGACCTCTAACACATGCAAATTGACTCGTATATCCTTTTTTTTTTTAATCCAATTTAATGCAAAATATTATAAACTTAAATGACAAAACTACCCCTCTTTGTTATTCTTTCTCTAACTCTCTAATCTGCGCGATCATACATATAGATGTACACACAATTATATATATACATAGTATGGTGTCTATGTTTGCTTGATTTTGTTAATCCATTTTTAAGTATATGCTTATTTGGTGTCCTGGTGATTTCCCGAGAAGATGGGTATCAGTTATTTTTATTTTCATAAATCCAAATCCTACCCCCCCCCCCCCCAACACACACACACACACAAAAGGAAGTTCCAATTTTGGGGTAATTACGTTAATGATTTCTATATGAGGTACATAGTTGTAGATAGAGCCATAAGAAGGGCATGCATGGTTGTTTTGCCCCTTTTTGTTGATTCGTTACCCGTTTTAGATTCACTTTGCTCCGCTTGCATAGACACATCATCTCTCCCCAATCTCCGATCACAACCCCGTAGGCATGGGGATGATGTAATAACCCGGTCTTTTTCCTCCTTTTTCTATTTTCGGTGATTTTCTTTTTTCGTCTTTTTCTTATTTTGTCTTTTCCCTATTTCGTCTTTTTTCCCATTTATCATTTTTCTTTACATAACCTCATTTATTGTGCTCGAATTTGATTCTGGTTTTGCATGTATTCATGATATTTGATTTCCATGACATTTGTATTTTTACTTTTGTAGAAAATACATTCTAGTTGCCTACTTTTTCATAAAGGGCATAGATGCATATTTTATTGTAATTATTTATTATTTTAGGGGTTTTTGTGTAATTATATAAAGTAATTATTTTTCGTCTTAGGGACCTTTTTGCAATTTAATTTGTAAGATATTTTAAAAAATGACCTTTTTGCAATTTTTAGAAAATGTGACAAGTGTCACATTCTCATGGTGCCACTTGTTGGCAACGGGGTAGAGTGACTTGGATGCATGATCTCTTGACATTTGGAGGGTGGAGATTCACCCACTTGTTGGCCTAGGATTGGAGCACTTGTTGGCTTAGATAGTTGACAAGTATAGGCTTAGGATTAAGCCTAGGAAGGAGCCTTAGATTTGTGACAAGTGTAGGCTCATGGTTTAGTCTTGCATTGTGTGTGTGTGAGAGGTAGTGTAAAAACACATAGTGAGTGGAGGATTACTAGACCCTCCACTCACCATTTTCACCTTCACCTTCTTCATTTACACTTGTTCTTCAAAACTCAAACCAATCCACCATTAGAGGAAAGCTTAGTTTAGAGCTTCTTGGTTCATTTTGACTTCCTTCCACTCACCTTAAACTAAAAACCTTGGGAGAAAAAATATACCTCTCACTCTTCTCTTCATTAACCTTAAACTTGTTTTCCATTTTGAACTTGGTTGCTTGGATTATAGAGATTCAATTTTCTATTGAGGTATGGGTGGTAGTATGTTTATATTTTAAGTGTTTTAAACTCCTTTGGGGTTTAATATATATTGTATACATGCTTTTAGAATTGTAGTATTGCATACTATAGGAAATCCTTATGATTGACTTAGGATTTTATTAATTAAGCATGTATATTGTGTATATATCTTGAGTAGGATTATTGATGTTGTATGGAACTCTCATTGATTTGAATTACTATACTATTATGATGTTAATCCTACATTCTAGTAGATTACTATTGGTAATTGTGATTATTTTAGAAGCTTATTGCAAAAATGTTAAGATTTAGTATATAAAACTTGTTGTTGAGGCATGATTGAAGTTGATAAGTTAGTGGTATTATTTTGCACATTATATCATGTTAAAGACTTGTCATTTATTATGACATTCTAGACTTGGAACCCTAAGACATGGTTTGTGTGGTTTCAAAATGCTTGTGCATGGAAGGTGCTATATATGTCTTAATATTATGTATAAGTTTTGAACTTGATGTATTTTGGATTCTCTTGGGACATGGTTACAAGTGACATGGTTAGAATTTGGCTCTAGTACAGGAGGTATAAGTTCTCCCCAATTGAGATAGTGCGCACTAGGGTGGTCTTCCCAACGGGTTAATGCCCAGAACAACTATTGAGGTCTCAGCAGAATTCCGAGCTTAGATGTCCAAGGATTTCACTTTTTGATTTCGCATTCAATTCCAAGTTGACAATCAATGTTTAAGTTGTAACTTGTAATTTTAGTTTCATGCGAGTTGATGTTGTTAAGTACATCCATTTTGATATTGTGTTGTTAGATTCATTGAAGTTAGCTTAAGATGATCCCTTAGAACACCTTGAACATAGACGTTAAGTGGAATGCTCCCTTGTATTCGTCTATATTGATCTTGCAATGATATTGAAACTTTAGGGTAAACGGATATGTTTCTTCCTACGAGTAACTTGATTACTCACCCTAGTGGTTTGGGTTGTTTTTCAGGTAAAGAGACTATGTTCTTAGATGCTCATCATCCTTAGAGGCTTATGAGTTATTTGAAGTATTTTTGTGTATTGACATGCAAGTGTTTAGCATGCCTTTCTTTTGATGTCACATTTTGTATACCATGGGTATATGGTACTTTAGAAGCTTATGTAGCTTTCTTGACATGTAATAATACTTAAGTATTTACATTTGACATTATAAGTATGTATGTAAAGAGGTCAAGGGCCAAGCATGTTCATTTTTGTAGTTGTACACTCTTGACATCAAATCTTTGCTTCAAAATGCCTTTTACCAAAATTTTGGAGGTTTGACATATGAAAATCTTGTAATTGATATGTATGAGGCCATGGGCCATTGTTTTACATTCAAGCATTCATATCAAAGTTATTGGCATATCCATACACCTGAATTTCAATGAAAAATCAGTTTTACACATTCATTTTGAACCAAATTATCATGGGATTCAAAGTATAGATTGAACCTTAGCACCTTGAACTCATAACAGGTTTTCCAGTAGCATTTCGAGGTGTTTCGGTCAACCGAAACTCCATTTCGGTCGACCGATGGCAATTGGATTTGTCTTTGCAGAATAACTCATCATTCTAGTAACCAATTCTACTGTTCAAGGCCTATTTCGGTTGACCGAAACTCTATTTCGGTCTACCGAAACAACCAACAGTTAAATTCATGATTTCAGCAAGTTTTTTGTTCATTTCGGTCGTCTGAAGCTCTATTTCGGTCGACCGAAATAGCTTTCATATGCACAGCTTCTTCAGTTCAGTTTTAGCACTACTGTTCCGACTTTGAATGGCCACATCTCCTTCATTTCTTATCCAAATGGGGTGATTCTTAAGCCTAAATTCATGGATTTTGAGTCAACTTTCCAATGGTACCAATGCCATTCTCAGATTCCAATCACAGTGGGAGTTATTCATATTTTAGTGAGGTAGTGTCAGTTTCCGCTTAAACTGGAAAAGGGCATTTTGTGGGATTCTTGGCCAATGTTCTTAGAACCTCTTGGAATGTTGGGAAATAATTAGATTAGGTTGTAATCACCTTGTTTGACTTGTTTAGAGTCAAGTTTCTCTCTTTAATTGTGAATTGACCATTTTGCCCTTCATTGACGGATTTAGTCCGCTTTGACCTTTGTTTCCGCTTTTGCTCTCTTTAAGTTCCGTGACCTCATGAAAGGTCACATTGGTGTCTTAAGGGTGACTCCTATCTCTTAAGACTTTGGTTTACCTTTTGCTTCCGCATTTCGAATCCGTTATCGGATTAACTTTCTGTTCATCACTGACGCACCGGATTGAAAAACTTGGGCCGTCACAGATGGGGTTTTGGGTGAGGCCAGTAGTGATGGAGGTGTTGGGTGAAGGTGGTGGTAATGGGTGGTTTTAAGCAGGGGCAGAGCTACTGAAAGGCTAACTTGAGTTATAGCTAAGGTTTAAAAAAAAAAAAAAAAAAAAAAAAAAA